GACATGTGAAATGCATGGGTTATTATAATGGTTTAAACCTTTTCTTGATAAAATCGTAATGATGATTGACAGGGAATGATAAAATGTGCAAAATGAAATACATTTGTTTGTTGCTCGAAGAAAACTGCTTGATTTTTTAGATTTATACGTAAGATTATTTAGTTAACTATAAACTATTCATAATCCATAAAACTCAAACACTATTATTAAATAACTACATATATTGTTTATAACATAATATCTTTTAACAGAAGATGAAGATAAAATATCGTTTTGGTGTCTTGCCTTTCCATTACATTTAAATTAAGTTCTTGAGACTTTGAGAGTTCAAGTACCTAACCAGGCTTCATAGACCGAGTTACTGGTTATCGGCAATGGTTACATCAATTGTAAATCGTTGGTAAAATTTACAGTTGTACAACTGATATACATTTTTTTTTTAACTTTATTTATTCATCTTCCGAGGAGGGATACCATTTAAAATACAATACGAAAGATAAATAAGAAGATATACATACAATTGATATACATACTTAAGAAACTAACGACAAAGCTTTGAAACATGTTGGATCGATGGTGTATATATTTTGACATAAAAAGAAGCAACACACAAAAAACGTTTTTCGATGCGTTAAGATGGGAAGAAGAAATTTCCTGAGTCCAAGAAAGAAAATCAAGTGGTATGACACCAAAAGAATCACATACAAAAATGTGAATATTGATTGGTCGATAAAAATGCTGAATAATTGTTGATGCACATCACGAAGTCATATAACTCAAAGCAGAATCACTGACGCTCAGATTTGGTGGACTCTATGACTCTGACTTTGCCAAATCCAATAATATCAATCATGATGAAGAAACGCAAAACAAACAAATCTCACTCTACTTCACATAATCACATCTTTGATTTTTTAGCCATTCCATTCTTTTTTACTGTTACTTGTGTTTGATTTGCATATGCTTGATTTGCGTTGCAACACATGGGTTTAGTTAAGGACTTCAAGTGGTATCCATATGTGATGTTTTGAAAGGGAAACTATCTGAAGATAAATGCAAATTCTTTTTTTTTAAGAGAGTAGTAGTAAATTAAAGATTTTATATTTCCAAAAAAAAAAAATGGTTAGTGGCAGAGCTGTCCCTGAACTTATGAAGGCCATAAGCTAAAAAGAAAATTTGGCCGAAAGATCATGTTGGACTAGGACATTATGCAAAGAGAGGACCGGAAATATTTATATATTTATCAGGATAGCAAACCAATCTTGCTTTGCTTTCATTAAGAGTAAAATTTTGTAATCATTTTAAGCATTTATTTGATTATAAAGAAAACAAAATAGAAAGTGAGGGAGTTTCACTTTCACACTTCCGCTTTATAAAACTCATTTTTTTGGCATTTGTTTTGATTATGTCAAAAACGGCACAAATAAACTTATTGATTTATTTTGGGTTAAGAAAATGATTAAGAAAAAAACAAAATCTTCCAATTAAATTTTACCGGGGAAATAAAACGTTTGGGTGGTGCTGACGTGTCGTCTGGATCTAGTAAATTAGAGTCTTTGACGTGTTTACCCTCGGTCTTATGCCAACTTCGCTTATGCGGAGAAGGGTATAATGGGAAATGGAATCTTAGTTTCCCATTATACCCTCGAATGAAGCGACAAATTTCACTTAAGTTATACATATATGATCTTCTTCTCCGTCTTCGATCAAAACAAAATTTCCCTTTACAACTAAAATCGAAACAGTCGACTAATTTCTTTCGATTTCCTTTCCTCTCGCATTACACTTCCCTTCTCGATTTTTTTTTTTTCTGGAATCTACCGCATCTGCATCATGGAGAATATTCAGCATGTAAATCTGGATCCGAATTTGGAGAACCCTATAATCGAGATCCTCAATCGATCCATGGAGGAGTGGCTAGAGAAGGAAGACCTGATAGCTCTGTATCAGCGACATGCCGTTCAGCAATTCCCCATATCCGAAGAAACCCCAGGCCCAGCGCCGTTTGTTGAAGGTTTGTTCATCTACGATGAAGATTTCTACGTTGATGATTACCCTTGGCGCGATGTTAATCAAGTGCGCAGGCGTAATTGCGTTTCGCGGAAGTTGGTAAAGATTGGTTCTTTTCTTCATTTTGTTTTGTTTCTATCTGAAATTGAATTCTAGGTTTTCTAATTGGGGCGTTTTTTAGGGCAACTCCACTTATCCCAGAATTGGGTATACAGAGGCCATCCTTACGTTGACTCCTGTTACAGAGTTCCAGAGAAGAACTCATCACGCCAAAATTGATGCAAATCAGAATCATCCGGGGCTTGCCATGGTGCATTATAGGGTCGTTGATGTACCTCCTCAAGTGGTAAACCAAAACGAAGTTGCTAATGATCAAAACGACGATGAAGAGAATCACGGTGGTCATGTGGCGGACGACTTGAATGCCAATGAAGAAGTCGGTAACCAAGCAGAGGGTGAATCAGACTTGGAGGAAGAGGACGATCTGGTTGGAGATCCAGATTATAACCCCCTAGATGATCAGGTTTGTGTTGGTTTATTAATCTTTTAATCAACCCCTTTGAAAGAGAAACTGTGTGTACATTAGACATTGAGAATCAGGGCTTAAATGTTCTTTCTTTCAGGATGCGGCCGATTCTAGCTCTACAGAGCCACTGCTCAAGGATTGGACTTCGACTGGAGCCATCTCCTCTGATACGTATGATGTGTTCCCTGCTGAGGCTACGAGCGTTGGAAACCTGCAACAGGTACTAGAAAGGTTTTCCTGAAGTTTATATGATTCTCTGGACGATGACCGACTGATATGATGTGTTTGATTGATTCCCTGGACGATGACCGACTGATAATGATGTGTGGTGTTGCCGTGTGTGTTTGTTGTTCCCCAGGTTCATGAAATGGCTACGGCTATAGAGGATGCCCAAGTGAAGCGAGTTCCAAGCTTGAAACTGCTCGAGGTTAGACATAGCCCTTAGTTTTTTATTCTCAGTATGTTTAGGAATACAAAGATTAGTAAGCTGTGAAGTAGAGGCGAGGAATTTGTTCTATCCTTTGTCTATACGGAATGCACTATGCAATTAGGAGGCTTTTCTGGTTTGCTTGTGGACATATTAGACTTTGTATCTGAAATGACAAATGACAGGAGGGTTGGAGGAAAGAACTGATGGCGGTGGCTTCAAGTTCTCGAGTATCCTCAACACCAGGCAAAGAACTTGTGGTGACGAAACCTTACAATTCAAGAGTACGAATATCCTGAACCTTGTCTTAAAATTTATTACTGTTTCATTTTTTCTTAACATCCTGTTTGATTAAGAACTGATGTTAGATCATACCAGTGTGTTTCTCTTTCCGCTCATATGTGTATAATCTGTCGAATAACAGGTGGTTATGGAAACAGTAGTAGAACTTGGTGAAACTTTCTCACAAGCCATCTTTCACTCTTAGCGATATGGCTACGGTATCAGGTATACAGGACAACTATCTGATAAAACTGCTGGAGGAGGTTAGTATTCTGGAGTAGTTGTGTGAATGCAGTATGCAACTAGGAGGCTTTTATCGTTTTTTTGTTGACATATTAATTCTGAAATGACAGAAGGGATGTGACTTACTTAAGAGCCTTGGCAAACCCAACGAAGTCACCCATGTAGATTTTGAAAGAGGTGTCTTCTTGTTGACAAACTCCTGCATTGGAAATTCTGTGGGCTGAGTTTGATATTGTGCGTTTGCTTATCAGTTTGTGTGTTTACTATCATCTTGCAGGTTATGCTTTTGTGTATGCTGAAGACGAGCGTGATGCTGAAGATGCAATCCGTGGGAAAGAAGGAAAGGCATCAATTGAATGGGCCAAGGTATATGGTTTGTTCTCTTCTAACGAATGATCTGTTCTGCTTCTTTCTTTGAGGGAGTTATAAGTTTGTTCTGGCTTTCAGGGTGAGCTTGGGAAGCCTCGTGATGGAAAGGGAGCCTCGAATCGGAGGCCTACTAAGACACTGTTCGTCATCAACTTTGACACAAAAGAGCGTAGACACTTCGACTCGTATGGTAAAGTTCTCAACGTCCGCATCAGTCGCAACTTTGCATTTGTTCAATCTGCGAACGAGGAAGATGCACACAAAACAGGTAACAACAATGCTTACTACCTATTTAAGAATTACTTGCCTTCTTTCTCTAACTCTTTCCATTACTGGAATCCTTAATTTCTTTGTTTCTCGTTGTTTTTTTTGTTTTCTAACAGCCGGTCTCCTGTTCGTAGAGCAATAGTTTGAAGATCAAGACGGTGTTCTGGAGCAATAGGATTCTATGTAGTACAGTCCGAAACTTTAGAAGTATAGAGTTTTTTACCACTTAGTAAATGCATTTACTACTTGAAATTGTAATTGTACGGTATTCTTTGCTGCTGCTACCACCTGTGCTTATAGTTTGTAGCTTATAATGATACATCTCTTTTGGAATTGGAATTGGAATACTGTCAAAGTTTGGATTATCTTCTATAAAAAAATATCTTTTTGGCCATTATATAAGTCTTAAGATATATGATTGGAAAAACATGATTAGATAAGTTACATAACTTAGGCAGCTCCTGTTCAGTGTTCATGATAGAGATTAGAGATTCATCTGTTAATCTTGCAAGCAATGCCCAAAATAAGCTCAGGTTATTTTTAAAACAAATGCTCACCGATAAAGGACCAGTATGGCCAATGCATATGTTGAAATCAGTTCAGTGTTGGCACCGAGGAAACGACTCTCATAACAGCACCAGGCCTTAACCAAAATGATGCTACGCTTGAACAGGTGATCCTTGGTCAACCTAAACAAAGCAACACAATCAAAGAGTTACCAAATAAGCTGAGGATATACAGATGATGGAAAAAACTGTTTATAAGCGCAAGGTATTTAAGTGTTTTACCTGCTCCAGGACAACATAAAGCACAGAGCCCTGCCGTTTGTTAGAAGGAGATTTCGACAGAAATGTTCCTGATCCTGCATTTTATGACCTTGACCTACGATTCAAAAACGCCAATGAGAGGAAAATCAGCATAAGCATTGATGAAATGAGTTTTCTTGCAGGGAAACTAAGCAAACCTGTGCAGGCACATACTGAACATCAGCATAAGCGTGATGAAATGAGTTTTGACTCCAAATCTAATCACACAGCAAGAAAACTCAACCAGACACCATCTGATACAGCATTCCTAAGAAGTGGTGACCGTAGGAAAGTTCACCAAACAAGATTTCAAATAAGACCCTCACATGTGAAAAATGGAGCACCAAAACTCTAACCTCAACTGCAAAACGGTCCTTTAAGAGAGTCTTTACTCGTTCCTACTTTGGTCTGAAACAAAGACAGGTTGGATGGTGCTGACAACCTCCTTAGCTCTTTCCTCGGCAAACATCCACAGTTCTTCTTCTTCTTCTACAAAAAAAATATCTTTCTATTTGTATAAAAACAGAGCATCCTGGTTATGTAGGAAGAGGTTAGTGACTGTACATTTTTTTTTCAGCTCATGTAGATATAAGTAGAGAACTATTATTTAAAGGTTGAGTTCCATTTGTATTTTTCAGGAATTTGTGTTGAACTCACGAGTCACGACGCATGAAGCTGTTCACTTGTGTATGGAAACCAGTTAAGCAAGAACCAAAGGCCTTGCTCTTCTTGTGCCATTGCTATGCTATGGAGTCCAGCATCACCATGAACAGTTTCGTCTCTCATCCTTTCTACTATGCACTTTTTCTTTCGTTTGATATCTCTTATCAAATTTTAGATATATTTACAAATGAAATTATGGGATTAATCAGGCGCAGCGACGAGGCTGGCCAAGACCGGTTTTGCGTTCTATGGAATGGACTATGAAGGACACGGAAAATCAGAGGGTTTAAGTGGTTACATCAGTAACTTTGATGATCTTGTTGCTGATGTCTCTGTTCATTACTCTACAATTTGTGTTAATCTTCTTTTGAAAAACCTTAGTTATATGCTTAAAATTTTTCATTATTTTACTAAATTAAAAAATGATTGGTTAAAATTGAAGAGAAAGAAGAGAATAAAGAAAATATGAGGTTTCTACTTGGAGAATCCATGGGAGGAGCAGTTGTGTTGCTACTAGCTAGAAAGAAGCCTGGTTTTTGGGACGGTGCCGTTTTTTAGTTGCTCCCATGTCTAAGGTTTGTGATTCTCTCTTTTCTTTCATTTCTCTAGTGTTTTTACTTTTTACGTTAGTTAGGGATTTTGTTTCTTAGTTTTATCATTAGTCTAGAACTGTGTGATTAATTTTGGTGTTTTAAAAAGATACGAAAATAACCATTTTCTAGTTATAATATGTCATTTGTCATGTTTTAAAGATTAGGTCCAAAACTGATAATGATTCCAATAGAATCATACAAAAACTAGTGAGATCACCCTACCTTATCTTCTTACCTACTAGTTTCTACTTTCTAGTCCATGCTCACCACTACTTGCTAGTTGCTACAAGCCTAAAAAAATTCAATTTAAATACTTTTAAAGGTTGAGTGATTAGCCTTAACTACAAATTTGATAATGATATATACTTGTGGACCTCTTTCATGACAAAATATCTTCCTTTGCATATGTTTTGGGGATTAATCTGAATTTCAGTCGGATATATATCTCTCGGTTATCAAAAATTTGCAATTTGTATTCACACAATGAATACCATACGATCTTAAAATCTCAAAGTCCACATAATGTTTTTTTTCATATGATACATTGATGTTGTTTTGTATAGTTAGCAGAAGAGGTCAAGCCACATCCAGTAGTTACTTCAATCCTCACCAAGCTTACATGGTTTTTTCCAACATTGACACCATGTAACTAAAGATATATATATATATATATATATATATATATATATATATATATATATTTTTTTTTTTATAATTTTAATCTCATTTTTAGTATCATTTTTACAAATGATCTTAATCTTCTTTTTAGTATCACTTTTTCAAATGATCTTAATTTCGTTTTTTGCATCATTTTTACAAGTGATTCTAATGTCATTTTTAGAATCATTTGGTGTATGCTATTTCTCGGCCTCCCATTATTTTGTGATTGGATACTATTTGTTGGCCATATGGTCCATCAAACCGCCTAGTACAGTACATTATTAAAATCCCAATACCGTACCTATATGTATATACACCAAATGTCTTGCGTACATGTGATTAGTGGCTTCGACACCTAAATTTTAGCTCGACTTTAAATTTTACGATTATATATATATCTATTATAGTGTACTTATACCGATCTAGATTTTACGAAACTGATTAGATTCGTATGTTTTTTTCTTTTCAATTACACGAGTTCTAAGATCAAAATTTATGTTAAGTTATCTTAGATTGTTGTGCAGTTCATGATGATCAACATTTTATATACTATTAAGTTTTTATTTGTCGACCATTTTATAAAGTTACTATAAAAAAATCAGTTAAATTCATTTTTTTTTTCTTCCGTCTGTCATACTCATACTATTAGTCCTTTTGTTTGTATATGATTATGCCATTTCATGATAATGTTACCAAACAAAACCAATATCTACTTACATTTATGTTTATTTTAGCACTATATTTGGCTCTTCAGATGTATGTAATAAAAGGTCAATACATCAAACATATCTAAAGTTAAATATGATTGGATTTTAGTTAAAGTGATAAAGATCAACCTCTTATTTATTCAAAACATCTTGTTTTAATGAATGATGAAAACCCTCCAGTATCAATTCCATCAGGCGATTATCTTACTTAAAATTTGTACAAGGAATAAACTAGTAAGAAATTCAAAGGAAAACTCATTAACAAGTGATGGATTGCATCTTATATAGAACATCTATATGGAATGTTCAAATGAGGAGAATTTTTAAAAAGAGGACGAGGGAGAGAAGAATTAGGAATGAGAAGACAAAAAAGAGAGTAGAGCTGGGTCCCACAGTGCGTGGCGTGATTGAGATTGAGATTTCGTTTTTCTTTCTTGCTTTTTCTTACAAATTTAAAAGACTGTTCAAGTTTTATTTTATTTTCTGATGATGACATCTGTCTTCTCTTACCCAACACCCTCTCCCACCCAATCTTTTTATCACTCCATCTATCGTGTCGTTTCACTGTTCCAGCTCCCTCTTGGCTGCCGTTTTACTTTAACGACTTGCCACTTGACACACATGTCCTCCAAGTTGTTGTGTCGGTCCGTAGATCTTTCTCTTAAATCACCGAGCTAGAAAAATCAGGCTCAATATTAATTATGGCCCAGTAGATATCAATTAACCGGCCCGACACAACAATAAGCAGGAACCGACGCCGTTTTGTGTTGCCGACAAGAATGTGTGATAACTGAAAATATTATCGCCGACAGGCCGAGGATCAGTGACGACGACGATGGGAACAACTAACTGTAGCGCCATGGAACCAGCTTCTCTTTGGTTCGATCGAAGCTAATTCTCATTTGAGCCACTCTTCTTACGTTCAGCTCGTATGTCTTTTCATTTTCACGTTCACAAGGAGCGATGCTGGTGTTCATTTGTTGATGCTGTGTGTGTGTTTTCAGGCGACGATTGGTTTAAATGGACGGCCTTCGAATCGCACCGTCGTATTCAGGTGATACGAAAGCGTGATTGTAAGAAATTTTCGTTTTTTTATTGGTTGGGTAGTGACACTTTTTGTCGGTGGTGTTTTCTGGTAGGGGATTTGAAGAGAACAGCGATATGATTCGAATCAACACCGATCTTCGTAGTCGAAAGGTCTTAAGAATTTTCCAGATTACGTTGAAGTTACTTCCGGATTCTGTTTCTCTTTGCGGCTTTGTAAATTTCTGCATTTTGTTGCAGATTGAAGAGCTTAAGCATTGTCCGTTTTCCGAGGTAAGGAATCTTTTTACAAGGTCGATTTGAATTAACATTTCCGAATTGTACTCTGATTTTTCCTTATGGTGGTTGTTTTTCGAGATATGTTTGTATTTCAGGATTCGTGGGAGCGATTTCGGATCAGTGGAAGAATTGATGTCATTGATGCCTCGAATCCCTGACCAGACCAAGCTTCAGGTGTGAAATACAAAACTTTAATAATATCTTGGAAAGGAAGAGAGACTTTTCGTCTTGATTGTTTTTGATTTTGATGTTGTAAAGAGAGAAAGCTTGGTTTGCTAATCCTCTAAAGTCAAGGCTGATGTACACCTGTCCTACTCCCGGTAGTCCTTACAGCAGCGAGCAATCGAACCTAGAAGTCGAATTAGATCCCTCAAGCGGTCTAGTTCCTGCTGCTTCTAGAGCCAGAAAAGGTTCTCTTATGTTCTTGTAAACAAATTTCTTTCTTCTGTACGGTTGTCCCCTTTGTAGAATCGTGTTAGCTGTGACGGATTGATTCATTAATGATTTCATTTGGTGACAGGTTGATTACTTGAATCTGAAAAGTAACCGGAGGCTTTTGTTTTCGTCGATGGTTAGTGGAACAGGAGACAAGTGCTGGACTTCAGAAATGGCTAACCCATAGTTAAGTTTTCATGTCTGAGAGGGTGATTTGGCTTATGTGACTCACTAGTTTGTAGCAACTCATGAGATTTTCATTATTGGATTTTGAACAAGTGTATTATTAAAAGACCTGAATAAAATGTTTTTGTTTTGCATGAATCTTTTCTCTTGTATACCATAGCCTCTATCCCGTTGAAATACATTTAATTTGCTCTAGATTAAACATTTGAGACTCTAGCGCCGTCTTGCCATCATTCCCCATGTTTGATGGATGTCAAAGTGGCAATGCAATAACCAAAGCCCTGTTAGTTAATAAGAAGAAACTTAGCAGGAAGCTGTCTGTGGGACGGTGTGCTAAAGAGTGTTGTGAAAAATAATACCTGGATTGTTGGCAACAAACCGAATTGTAGCCCATCCTCCTACAGGGACTCCAATAGTGTTCAAGTAAGGAGGATCCTCCAGGTTAAACTGTGCTGTTCGTTCATCGTAATTCCCTGTGCCATAGCCAATAACGTAGAAGCTATCCCCGTGAAGATGAATGATAGATTGAGGATAGATTTAAGAGTAAGAACTGTAAGGAAAGAGAGTGAAATAGACTGAATAATACGATTGAATACTGCAAATGTCGATTACAAGTCTCGACGGACTCATGACGCTCGTCACTAAGCACGCAGGCTCAGGTTTTCAATCAACAAAATGCATAAAAGAAACGCTACAACAAACTAGCTCTTTTAAGGGACTCAACAACTAACAGCAAACCCTCCAACGCAACCCGAAGCTTTTGACTTTCCTTCACTTCATTGACTCCTTCCCTCCACGTCAGCATCTAAATCGACTCCCATTTCTCCTCCACCCAAGTGTTTCTTCTTCCTGTAGTAAGTATGGTAGATCTCATCAATGAATTGGATGGTTTTCACTTGTGAGTGTTCCAGTATTCTCAAAGATGATTTGTATTCTGCTCCCATACTCGAAAACCATTGCTCGGGTACCGTTTGCAGCCTGAGTGTCATTGCCTATGCCATTGGGTGCTCTCCATTGATAAAGTCATAGGATTTTTCTGGCGCGGTTGGGAAATCTAAAGTGAAGTATCCTTCCAGTTGCTTGTAATAACCTTCCAAAATCGAGACTTTAGGTTCGATGAAGCTGATGTTGTTCACTGAAGCTGCTAATCTTCCTTTTCCAGGGCCTTGGGACTTGTTGTTTGGATTTTCAGAGTTGCACTTGTTTACATTTATACCAATTGTGATAAAGAGCTGAGCATCAATATCTTTTGGGACATCAACTGCATTTAGACTTCTGAGCCCATCCATGACAGTCTTAACACCAAGATTACCATTGAAAATGGGTAACTTAGCTGCTAATGGTACACTGTTAGGCAATGCACCAAATTATCGGAAATTAGCTATGGCTGATGTGTTTTGAAACTTGACCTTGTTTGCAGACTCGTAAGGACCCATGGCGATGGAGTAATTCCCAATGGCTTGATCAGCTGTGACAAGAACGTTCATTGTCTGTCCAGGCACAAGCATCACACGCTCTGTTGTAAAAGGTTTGGTGTACTCGCCATCTACTTCCACTATGGTCAACCTGTGTGATTAGCTATGGTGAAGAAGCTCTCCATGTTAATGCCAGCACTTATCAGCCTTAGCAAGTATGTCTTCCTTGGCACTATAATAATCTCATAAACATCTGAAATATTAAGATAATTAATCAAAGATCAATAGTCTGTTCTCTTGTCATAGACCAATCGTAGCAATTTCTATTTACCATCAATAGGAGGACGTCCTCCACTCTCCAGTACATGTTGTTCGAGCATAGATTTATCAGGGGAAAAGACTGACATTAGTTTAAGAATAAAGATTACCCTAAGAGAACTGTCTGCTCATTGAAGGGTTTCTTGAAAGGGTAAGAAACAGAAGATTTAGGATATATATATACAATAAGCGGACCGTATACTTTTGCCCTAAGCCAAGAAAAGTGTGCATGCCAAAAGAATGTGGCCCTTCTGTGAAGTGGTATGTGAAACTCTGTCCCCTCTGAATTGGACATTGTGTGATATAAGATGGACCATCATACCAGCATGATAGTTTTTGCTTAATACCATGCCTGCACGTTTTAGAACAAATCCTTGTTAGTCTAGCTTAAGCTTTATATGTATGTGTAAATTTTTATACCAATGAATTGTGGTATTATAGGGTGTCATATTGATGACTTTAACGATAATTCTGTCATCTTCTTGGGCGGTTATCGCAGGGCCAGGGAATTTCCCGTTGATTGTCACAATCTCTCTGGTCTGGCACAGCTTGGTGAGCCTCATTGCAGTAACACAACAGAAGTCTGTTTAGTAGGACTAAAGAACAAATGAGATGAAATATTGATTGCTGTTGATACTTGACCTTGAGTTGATAGAAACTTGAAGAATGAACAAGAATAAGGTAAGACGGAACAAGGACGAGACAGCTGAATTGATCATCATTTTAATGGAAAAGAAGAGACGGGGAGATATGAGAGTGAAAGGTATCGATTGGTTTTTTATAGTGTTCGAAGGAGAAAGATGGGAATTATAATATATAGCTCCGAAAAGAAAGTTTCATGATTTTGTAGAGTTGGCAACATGGACACTAGTGATTATAAGGTGTTGGGAAAGCGTGAGTGATTTCTTGACAAACACACGGTCACTCTTAAAAGGGCTTAGTAAAGGAGAGGTGTTACTCTTAATTAGTGTCTTCTCTTTGATTCTGGATTAGTAAAAGCTTTATACATCATGTTGCAGGATTCTCTACCAAACTTGTGTTGCCGTGTACAAGATCCGAAATGGGTTATTTTCTGATTTTCTTGATATCTACTCTGCATCATCGCTGAGCCCGGAAGGTTCTCCAAGTCCAGTGGCAGCTGATAGTCCCAACCGGCGATGATCATGGTTTATCTCTAAGAAAAAACTCACAATCCATGTATGTCACTTGAAAGTGGTTCCGACGCTGTTACAGCTTTTGCTCTTATGTCCTACAACTTCTTATCCGAAGAAAAAGAAAAATCAGCTACAGGGAGAGGAGGAAAGCAACTGAAGATTTCAAGGCCGTGGGGGATTTGAGACTGTTGACAAAGCTGAGTGATTGCAAGAACCAAGATCCGTCTGGAATCTACGCTTGTCTCTCACAATCATGTCTCGTCTCGTTGATAGATGTGCAACAGCAACTTGGTTACAGAATGGCAATTGGTTCGTTAGATTTTTGGACTCTTTCTTCTGGTTGTTGTGGTTCATTAGACCGTAACTCTAATTCAGCTTCTTTATCTAATTCTCTTGTTCAATCCGCAACAGAACTTGTCTAGTGTCTAGCTGCTTTTCAGCTTTTCTCTCATCTCCTTTAGCATTACATTCTGTGAATCACACCTTTACGCGGCTCTATCAAACTCCATCCGACCTTCCTCCCATTTTCTTGCTGCTGCGTACATACAGAATAATAGTATCGCCTTCGCCTTCTGAATTCGGATATTAAGCAACCACAAGCAGTGAAACAAACCAAGTGGCAATATATGGCAAACAAAAAGAAACAAATATTTATTGACTAGCAATCTTGTTCAAAGAAGAAAAAGAGAAAACAAACAAGCCAAACAAGTGAAGTGAACTCTAATAAGGTTGGATCAAACTTGGAAGATAAGAGCACGCAAGTGGTAAATTCCGTTTGTCAGCAGCTTCTCCAAGATCAACTTTCTTCAAGGACCCATCCACTCCAATGATGTAAGCTTGGTGGCGAGTAGGCTGTACAGCGCGAAGAACGAACTCTTTATCCATAACCATGGCGACTTTCTTCTCCTCGTCAATGAAGAAACTAGCACCTCTAATGCGAAACTGAAACATAGGGTGAATGAATTTTTTCAAACTCGCTTCCAAGAACACCTTGCTTTCCCACGTCACCGCGTCGGGCTCAATCTTGCTCGTAACCCATATCTCCACCTTTAAAGTATCCCATGGCTGAAACAAAACCGCAAGCTTCTCTCCTCCTCTGACAACAGATAGACTCACAGTATCTTCAAGCACATGCTCGAAAGGCAGAGGCAACCGTGGCCCAAATGTCTCCCTTGTGAAATCAAAACAGACCAAGCAACCATCTTCATACTCGTCTGACTCCCCCGCCTTCGTAGCAAGCCAGTAGGTATTTCCATTGAGAGACACGCCAGCATGAAAGAAAGTCACCTTCCAGTCTGGAGTGATATCAAGAACCCTCCATGAATCAGAGTTTAGGTCGTGGATTGTGAAATCAATGGAAACCCCGGTCATAGAATAATCCCTAAATCTTAAGACTTTGTAGGAGTTGCTGCTCTTGTCGTATCCGAGGGCATACGAAGAATGGGGCCATATATTGAGTTTATTTGTGAGCTCGATCCACAGGGGCTTCCCGCAATACGGGTTCCAAACCACCAGC